GGCGTGGGCTGCGGGCCGCGGGCCGCGAGCCGCGGCCGGCGTGGCGGCGGCGCGGAGAGGCGAGCGTGCTGGGGCCGGGGGTCTTTGCCGGGCCCGAGGCCCCCGGTTGGGCTGTTATGGTGTAGCAGAGCGCACCTCACGGCACCGTGATGCATTCGTGCACTGATGTGTGCATTCGTAGGCCAGCTGGGCGGATGGGTCGGAGGTGGGTTTGGGGCTTTATGGCTCGCGAGCGCGGCAGGGCGCCTTGCCCGCACGCCGGCTCGCTTGAGCGTTAAAAACCTGGGGGCTCGCTGACACGCGACAGGGCGGCCTGGCGCTCCTCTCGGAGGGCGGGCGTGACCGCCGAGGTGCCATTGCGCAGGCGGGGGCGGGGACTCAACGTCGCGGCCAGCTTTTTTGACTTTATTTGGTCGGAGTGGCTAAACCCTACCAACCTCAAGCCTGCAATGTGCTGCTGTCTTTCCTGCACACAATCCACTTGAGTGTTCCAGGCCATAAGCGCCTCGCAAACCATCCGCATGACGGGGGCGCCTTCATGGGGGGGCGCGGCAACATGCGGTTTCGCTTGCAAATGCTCTGTGTAAACACACAATTTTGACACGCCTGACGGGGCCGGGGCTCGACATTGCGCCGTATTCAGGATTCGACAGTGCTGTTACGTGTATCCAGCTTGCCAAGTCGAGAACTGGGAATTTGAGCTGAGACTGCAGCGCATGTGCATGCTTTCAAGCGGCGGGGGGGGGGGGGCAAGAGTCTCGGGCACCCTGCACAAGCTGGCTGACGCAATGCAGGCCGGGTGTGAGCTGGCAAGGTGTGCTTGTCGTGCGAGCGCGTCTTCAACGATATCCATTTGGCCGGAGACGTACTGCGTGGCCTGGGGTCGCTCACAGGCTCAGAAAGTTCGGTCAAACACGTGCGAGGTCTTCTCCGATTCTCCGAAGCTAGCTGTTTGGCGTTGTACCGTGATTTTTTATTACATCATATCATTTTGATCTCGATGTTCATAAAGAACCCCTCGCTTCCGGGGTGACGACCCCTTTTCGACAGGAGTCTGCAATGCGTTTCTCGGTCACCCCGGCGGCTCAGCTGCTTTGTTCATCGTTATTGATTAATGCAGTGCACTGTGTCCCTGACAGCTGCGGCACATTGCTGTCTGTGGAGGGCGTCGACCAGTCACCCACATCCCCCCAGCAGTACGGCAAATGCACCGCCGCAGTAGACGCTAGGATTCTCAACACCTCAAACTGGTGCATGGCACCAAGTTTCAACAGCTGGCCCTCAGTGCCAACAGCAGAAGCATCGGCCTGCCTGAAATTTGGGAGGCTGAGCGTTTACACCGGCCCGGTGTGCCGGGAGTCTCTGCGCCAGCTTCGTCCACAGGCTCTGCGCGCACTGTCGCTCACGTGTGCGCGTAGGCAAGCTGAAGCTAATCACTGACCCATGCTGCCACTGTGTCGCGCCCGTTTGTCTTAAGTCGTTGCGCCGCGCACCAACATACACTCCTGCGGCACGCAACCCGCATTCGCCACCCAATACCTGTGCCGCACCGCCACTCAGATCCTGGGCCAGGAGCCGGGCCACCGCGGCGCCTGCAACGCGCCGCTTGTGGGCAACGACAGCCACGCGATGGTGGCGGTCTCGACCAAGTACCTTTCCTCAGCTCAGGGGGGCTGGCAGTCCGACCCTGGAGCGTGCGGCAAATGCATGGTGCGGGGAAGATAGCGACGAAGAAGCAGGCGGGGGCGATCTGATTACGCCAGATTCGGGCATGCCATACTAGTCATGCAGTTCTTGACTGCCGGGTGCTTGAGTGCACAGTCAATGTGATTGACCGTGAGAGGGACCTGGATGGTGAGAAAGATGGCACCGCTGGTGCCTTTCATCCCTGTTTTGCAGCAAGGCCACGGCAGTTGCCAGCAAGCTGCTGCGCGCGTGTGTCATCCATTCTGCTTCAGGGCACCGGCCACACTCAACACACGCATGTGTACATGCCCACATTTTGCAGTGCGTGCGGATTCATGGCTGTGACGACGCCTACAATCTCTATCCCAACCGCGACAACGTACTGCAACACCAGGGCCTGACGTTTGCAGCGCGGGTTGGCGACAGGCGCGGCCGATGCGGGATGACTGCGCCTGAAAATATTTGCTAGCTGGGGGCTACCTGACTCGAAGCAGCCGGGGAGTCTTGGGCATCGAGCTGCTGCGCGCACCATTCAGAAATAGGTTTGAACGCGGCCCACCAAGCAAGCGACAATGAGCAGTGTCATGCTAAAGCCAAGACACCACAAGCTGTAGGCCTGTGTCACTCAACACTCAAAAACCACCCTGGGCCAGGTGTGGTGAGTGCGAAGATGACCACGTGGACATGCTGTTGGACCGCCCCCTGGCCTTCTCCCCTTACAACAAGGCACGGATAGATTACGACGGCCACGTCAGCAACAGGCACGCACCACTGGTGCGCGCACACGCAGTCCGCTTTATGCAGTTGATGCATGTACTCTGGCACACGGATACGCTCTCAAGCATGCGTGCCAAGTACCTGCATACACGCAAACGCAAACGCACGCGCACGTGCGCGCACGCGAGCGCGCGCGCGCACACACACACACACACAGACACACACACACACACACACACACATACACCAATATCCCTAATGACCGATTGAGATTCCGCGTTTCTTGCTGTTGTAAAAACATCACAGCTAATCCAAGGACAAGAAAAAACCATGGTTATGTGTGGCACCAAACTTGTACTGAAGCTTGGCGCAAGCCCCTTGCAACCACAGTTGCGCCTCTGTCATCCCATCACATGCAGGTCAATCGGCTAACAGGCTTGCGGGGATTTTCAAACCCAGAAATGCTGCACGGGGGGCCATCATCCCCCGAAGTGGTGAGTGCAATGCACACAGTCGCCTGCAAAACATACACCCAGTGGCCTGCAAAACATACACCCAGTGGCCTGCAAAACATACACCCAGTGGCCTGCAAAACACCTTTCCTGGGCAGATGGCATCCTTGCACTTGCGTGCCGCCATCCACCCCCTTCCCTGTGAGCACTCCAGTAGTCATGCGTTGCGCTCCGTTCACGCCGCACAGCAGCAGCATCAGCGAGGATCAGCAACCGACGCTCTTGCCGCACCGTGCAGGTTGGCGTGTACACGGCTGACTGGCAGTGGGCTCCCTGCACACTATCGCATGCGGACTGCGGCGCCTTGTTCCAGCAGGTGCTGCTTGGTGTGACGAGGGTTGTGATCCCATCTTTCCGGGGGGACGCGGCGATGTGGTTGGGCGCGGCAGCAGTGACACAGCCAGCTACGTGTGCGCAGCACCCGCTGCCTTCTTTGCCTTACCACAATCCTTGGCCGCCAATTCTGCCGTGGCGCAGGTGGGTTATGCTGTGCACATGCCACAGGTGACGCCTGGCATCGACTCTGACACGCTGCAAGCAATCAACGCACCAGGTGACAGCGGATGACCCCTCGGACCAGACCTTGTGCCGGAACAGCAGCAGCCGTCCAGGCCATGCGTGTACTCACCCAACCTTCAGCCGAGCGTGAGAAGGCCCGTCCCCCCCGTTACAACCAACTGACCGCTGTGGACCTCGTCACACTTGCTGACGTGATGATGCTTGCTGATCCGTCTTGACGCAGGCGAAGACACCAGCTACCTGTACCCCTCAGAGGTGCTGGCTGACGCCGCCCCCGCTCCGCCCGACCGCGCCACACTAGACGCGCTGATCGGTCTGGGATCGCCTGCCGGCGCCAGCAGCGTGTCACCACCGTCGCCTGCAGCACTGCCGGCATCGCCACCAGCATCATCAGGGGGGCCCCCGGCGCCGCAAGGGGCCCAGCCCCCACCCCCAGGTCAGCAGCCCGTGCCGCCGTCACCGTTGACATCGTCGCAGCCAACGGCGGGCCTAGCTGGCGCCAGCGTCACAGGCGGCGGTTCTGGGGCGGCCGGCCAGCCGGCAGCTGTGGTGACTAGTGCTGCCAGCTTCGCTGCGCCAGTGCCCAGCACTCCTGCCGCACAGGTTCAGGGTGCCGCGCTGCCACTGGTTTCAGCCACGGCAGCATCAGGAGTGGTCAGCCAGCAGCTCCTAATCACACAAAGGCCCAGCCTGTTGCTGCTGAGCTCCCCTGCGCCGCTCAAATCGACAGCAAGCGCAGCCCAAGCCGCCGGGCTCGGCGTGGCGGTGGAGGCCCCCGCGGAGTCCCCGGCGGCGCCACTCAACACAACGCGACTTGGAATTATTCTGGCAGTGATATGTGGGTTGGGCGCAGCCGCGACCCTCATCGCATTGCTGCTCGCTTTCTCGCGTTGGTGCTTGGCCACCAACAGGGGCCGCCAGGGCGGCAGCAGCCGCCTGCAGTCGTCCGCGGGCCAAACCGCAGGCGGCGGCGGCGGCGGGAACGCGGCACAGCAACGGCACATGGGATGGGTGCCTGCGGCCGCACCGGCGTTGCTGGATGGTGTGGGGGCGGTCGGTGGAGGCAGCAGTCGCGCAGGATCAAGCAGCGGGTTTGCATCAGGCAGCGGCGTGACACACCGCGCTGCGGCTGCTGCGTTGATGAGGCAGCCATCGGGGCTTGGCTATCCCAACCGATAGCATTTTTTGGTGAGGTTCCATGGTGAATGGGCTCAGTGTTTGCGCTGATGCAGCACTTGGATCAGCACGCAGCACATGGTTGAAGGCAGTTGGGGCGGACATGTGGACGGCCTACCACCATTGATGTCGTTGTGCACCCGTGGCGTGCATACAATATTTGACAATTATTGTTCATTCTACCAGCAACAGGCCATACGGCACATACATGCCCAAGAAGTGAAAGGTGACACCCCACACTTCGCACCATTTGAAAGTAAGAGCTCCCAGCTTGTGCATGGCATCAGTGTTGTCATTGTTGTGGTCTATCCGTTCACATCATACAAGCTGAGCGTACGCCGTGGCTCGTGCCGCCTGCCAGATCGTTTGCCGCGTCCCCGACACCTTCAAGTCAGTGCGCGAGTGAATTTTGAGAACAGCATAGGCAGGCAACCGCAGCAAATCGACATAAGCCATGGCAACCTCCACGGAGGACCTCGAGCAGCGTCTGGCGCGCAAAAGGCAGTTCAGCGAGTTCCTGGAATGGGAGGACCGTGATGGCTGGTCGCTCAAGGCCCAGATTGATCAGTCCATGGTGCAGCGCAAGGGGGAGGCGATCGTGGGCCTCAAGACCACCAGGTGTGCGGGGTGTGCAGCGGGGTGGTGCTCGGTCGACTCATGTTTAGAGTTCCTTATACATGCATCGCGAAATTTTCGGAATAATATCGCCGGTGTGGTGTTGGCGGCGGCACACAGCAATGCGGAGCGCCATGTACTGCGCGATCTGGCGCCAAAACCCGCTGAAGGGACGGTGCAGCCCTCGACGCGGCTCGCCCCGCTCTGCAAACATACAATCTGCAAATGGGAACCCCGGGCGCGCACGCCGCGCGCATTGCACTGCATTGCTCACGGACGCCCCCGCCCCGCACACACGGCACGCCCGCCGCGCCGCGCGCCCCTCCCCAGGTTTGACGTCCCCAACCACCGCCTCAAGGCCTGGAACGAGCCCGTCCAGCGGCAGCTGCTGCAGGCGCCCGCCGACTTCATCCCCGGCTTCCAGGACGCGATCCGCGACTACATCCGGGGCCTGGACGCCACCAGGGCGCTCACTGAGAACGCGGAGATCCAGGTCGGGGTCAGCGGCGAGTTTGGGGAGCTGGAGCTGTCCCCCAGGGAGCTGGCGTCGACACAGCTGGGCAAGCTCGTCAAGGTGGGCCCCACCCCGCCCCGCCGCGGGGCGGCCTAGAAGCGGGGGCCGGCGGACAGCGGCCGCGGCGCAGCGACCGCAGCCGGCCCCTCCCGCTCGTCACCGGCCCCGGCACCTCGCATGCAGCAGGGCGCCCGCTGAATGATGGCAGCAATTTGAAGGCAAGCACCCTTTTTCAAGTCTCCCTCTTCTCCCAACCACCACACACTTCCCCAACGCACCCGCCCGGGCGCACCCGCCAGGTGTATGGCATCGTGACCAAGTGCTCCCTGGTGCGCCCCAAGCTGGTCAAGAGCGTGCACTTCTGCCCCGACAACGGCCTCGTCACCAGCCGCGACTACCGTGATGTCACCTCCCTGGTCGGGCTGCCCACCGGTGAGCCGCGCGCACGCGTGTGCACGTGCAGAGCTCACGTCAGTGTGACGAAGCTGCCATCGACGGATGAGGGGCCAGCCCATCGGCCAGGCCGCTTCGGCCGTTCTGCATGCGTTGCCACCGTACCCTCCCCAGCTGCGGTGCTTGCTTCCCTGCGCCGCCCTCCCGCGCACTGTCCGCCCCCTCTGCCCCAGGTTCCTTTGCCGACCCTGCTCCACTCCTTCCCCTGCCGCAGGCGCGAGCTACCCTACGCGCGACACCGACGGCCACCTGCTGGTGACGGAGTACGGCCGCTGCCGCTACCGCGACAACCAGGTGGTCACCATACAGGAGCTGCCAGAGACGGCGCCGCCGGGGCAGCTGCCGCACTCGGGTGCGCCGGGGGCGCCGCCCCGCCTGGTCGCGTCGGGCCGCGGGACCGCGGCCGGCCCCCCCTCCCACCCCGCCTCTTGAGCCAGAGAGGGAGCTCTGGATACAGCACCTTCTAGTGAGCCCTCACACCCTCCTGATTTGACTCCCTCGCCCACTTTGACACCCACACACACCCTTCACACATCCACACCCATCCACACGCACACACACACACACACACCCCACCCCACCCCACCCCCCAGTTGACGTCATCCTTGAGAATGACCTGGTGGACGCCGTCAAGCCCGGGGACAGGGTGGCCATCGTGGGCATATTCAGGCCGCTGCCGGGCCAGGCCAACGGCATGACCAGCGGGGTGTACAGGTGGGCTGGGGGCACATCGAAAATAGGGCCTTGGGGTGTGAGAGGAGCACCGCAGGGTGGGGCGGGGTGGGTGGAGCAGGAACGCAGCATTTGTTAATGGTCAGGGTTGGCGTGCGCCTTGAACTAAGGGGGCGCGCCTGCCTGCTCAGCAGCTGTTGCCGCTGCCACCCGCTCACAAACTCAGCCACACACACAGTCTCACCATGGCCCCTGCCCATACTTTCACCACAAACACCCACACACACTTTGTCACACCCTTTACCCAGCAACCTCGGTGCACATTCACTCCCTCACTCACTGACACATGCACACACACACACACATAATCAAATGCTCACGCCCTCCCCCTCCCCCCCCAGGAGCGTGGTGGTGGGCCTGAGCGTGGAGCGCCTCACGCAGGACAAGGTGCGGTGGGCCCCCGACGACATCGCCAACATCCAGGCCATCGCAAACAGGTGGGGGCCCAGTGTGCATGGGACGCAGCCAGCTTGCATGCAGGCTTCGCTGGGGTGGCCGCAAAAACCTGGACCGGTATACTGCTCCGCCGGCCTGCTCATATCCTGTTGTCACAGGCTGCAAATCCATGCGACCCATGAAGGACTCCTGGCCTCCGAACGCGGGGTCCTTGTTGCTTGAACCCACCCACCCCGCTCAACGTACCGGTACCCACCCCCAGGCCGTGGGCGCTGCAGCTGCTGGCCAAGAGCCTGGCGCCGTCCATCTACGGCCACCAGCGCATCAAGGAGGGCCTCGTGCTCATGCTCATGGGGGGCATGGAGCGATACGTCAACAACACACACATCAGGTGGGAGGCGAGGGCGGCTGAATAGTGGCGCACGCGCACTCGCGCATGCATGCGGCCGGCTCCCTCTTGGGGCTGTGCATGAGGTGCATGTGTGTGCACGGGTGTCTGGTCTGCTCCGGCGCATGTACGACCCCGCACTCCCGCAAAGAAGCCCGTCCCAGCGGCGGCGCGGCTGGCTCAAATGTTTATGTCGCAACCCCTGTGCCCCAGGGGCGACATCAACTGCCTGCTTGTGGGCGACCCCGGCGTGGCCAAGTCGCAGCTGCTGCGCGCCGTGATGAGTGCCGCGCCCCACGCTGTCAGCACCACGGGCCGCGGCTCCAGCGGCGTGGGTCTCACGGCGGCGGTCACCTCTGACAAGGAGACCGGTGCGGCCCCAGGGGGTGGGGGTGGGCGTGCCGGGCCCCCTCTTTTGGTTCCGTTTCATGCGTTTGGCCCAGGATGCAGTGCAAGCATGGCTTCACAATTGCGGGCTGTGCCATGCCACGTCCCCGCAACGGCATCCCAACCCGCCGCCTCGGCCCGGCTCACGGACCGGCGATCTCGCACGTGCGCCTCACCAACTCATTCCGCCTCACCAGCCCGCCGCCCGCGCCTCCAC